GAGCACACACGCTGAGACCGCTGGGTACCCAGAGCCACGTCCGTGGGGCTGGGAGCTGTGGAACAAGTTGCAGGGACATTCCTGGGTCTGGGTGCTGGGAGGGTTGAGTCTACCCCATAATAACCCGCAGACCCCGAGAGACCAGGGAGTTATTATATGAGGCTCCAGAGCCCCTAAGGCAGCCTGTAATTACAGTGGGATGGGGCAAAGGCTTCCCCAGCCAAACTAGCATTTCCCAGCGCTGGCAGCCGTGCCAAGTCAGTAGCTGGGGAGGGTAAGGGGCAATTTGGGGTTTGCTCTCCCTCCCCCGTGCCCCCCCCCAACAGATCTGGAGGCAAATAGGAGCTGCTTGTGGCTACTGCACAGCCCAGCCCCTGTCGCTGCTGGACCACAATGGGATGGATGAGCGAGGATGGGGGCGAGAGGGGCCGTGGGACAGCTTGGCACAGTGCAAAGGTGGGTGTCACTTGGGGGTGGCACCGGGTACACGTAGCATGTCCAGGGCAGGGGACAGAGCAGCGGCAAGGGGACGCGGGTGGGGGCCGGGAGCTGGCACCCCCCCCTTATTTTTGGTGCCAAGGCACTTCTCTGGTGCAGGCTCTTTTTCGGAGCCCCATGGCACGGAGCAGCTGGGGCTGGGGAGTGGGATGCAAGCGAGCGAGCGGGGCTGCAGCCAGCCACCGATTTCACGACCCCAGGTGTCCTGCGGGAGGGAGAGGAGGGGAGCAGACAGCGGGTGAGGATTCCCAGCCAAGGGCTGCCTCTCATCCCATTTCTAGCCAGGGAAAGCCTGGGCTGAGCCCTTGCAGCTTGCTGCACGTAAGGGAAGCTTTGAAGCACCTCCCATGGAAATGGGATGACCCCAGGAGCCCCGGGAGCATCGGACCTTGCTGACAGACAGGACCTGTGGTGAGAGCATCGCCCCGACACCCTGCACCCGCATCAGAGTTTCCAGCAGAGCCCCGGGGCTCGCTTGGCAGTTGCACTGTCTCCGAGTGACCGACTCCCTCCAGATTGCCTCAAATCTCGATTCAAGAATGTTGTTTGGGCTGAAGAATGTAACGCTAAGAAAGAAAAAAGGGAAAAGGGAGGCCGGGGTGAGAAGGGAGGTCGAGGGAGGGTTTGCCCTGCCCTTCCATGCTGACCTTTGCGTTTTTGGAGAGGAGGCTGCAGCCGCCCAGTGCAGACATTTGCCAGATGTTGAGTGTGTTCCCTCCGCCCGGCTCAGCCAAGGCTGAGCCCAAAGGGACCCGATGATCCCTGCTCCTCCTCACCCACTGCCTGCACCCCCTAATGATTCCATTTCCCTGCCTGCCTTTCCACTGCCTGCTCGTATTTTGGCCGTCCTTGGAAATCAGGTGGGGGTTTCCAGGTGAGTTTGTTTTCAGCAGAGCCCTTTGAAAAGGAGCAGCACAGCCCTGGGAGGGGGCCGTCCGAGATGATAACTGCTCTGAAAGCCATGGGGCTGCTCCCCCAGGTACAGGGGAGCCCAAGCCACCCTGCAGGCACCAGCGCTCTCGCTTCGGGGCACGGTTAGAAGGAGAGGGTTCCCGGCTCGGCATGGTGGGATGGAGCGATGCAGAGGTACCTGGAGAAGGGCACTCGCTGCTGGTGCCCGCATGAGAAGTTTCTCCACGTTTTACAAAGGCTGGAAAGAGCCAGAATCAGCGAGGAAAAGGAGGTTTGGTTGCAAACATCCAGAAAGACCATGCAAACCTGGAAGTCACAGACCTCCAGGCACTGGCTCCAAAGCCTTTCTGCTCAGGCTTTTGTAGCACGAGCCTTGTCAGGAGGCCTGATGCAAAGAAGGGGCTCCGGATTGTGGCTTCATGGGCCTCTCCACCGCGCAGGCTCTGCAGGCGATGCCCCACGCGTTTCCACCCACCCTGCCTGAGCAAAGCTGGAGATACCAAGGGACAAGGTCTCCTTGGCTCCTGCTTGGACTCTTGTCACTGGAGTCCCTTAAAAAAGCAGCTGGGACCTTCACCCTTCAAGGATCTGCCTTTAAAGACAAGGTCTAGGAAGGGACCTGCAGGACCTGCCAGGCAGCCAGGGCAGGGCATGGTGAGATTGCTACACAAGCAGCCCTGTCTTCAAGCACCCTGAGCCCAGCGGGACTGGTAACCCCCTCCCAGGACAGGGAGGGCCATGGAAATTAAAGAAAATAGCATGAGTGGGAGGACAGAGCAGCCAACAGCTCCAGCAGAGCTGAAACTTCTTGGAAATGTGGAAGAGGCAGAAATAACATTTCCATGAGTAAAAAGGGAAGCTGCTCAGAAGTAGCTGTGCTTCTGACAGTCGCTGTTTTTGGATGCCCATGGTAGGTTTAATAGTTCTCCTTTCATCCAGGCAGAACGAGCTTTAGCCTTAGCAAGAGCATCAAGAGACTTTTCTTTGTTATGCTGTGAAGCATTCAGTCCCTGTGCCAAAAGCATCCTGACAAACCCGTGTCCATCCACAGAGAAGACAGTGCTCCCGGCTCCGAGCGCAGGTTTTGCAAATTAAAGGCAAACGCAGGCCAGATTCAGTGGTTTCAAATACAAAATTCAAGAGGATTTGATTAAAACAACTGGAACAAACCCAACCAAAATAGTCACTGTTCACATCAGTTTGGGTTAGAAAACCAAAGCAAACCAATACAGGCATCTGTCTGGCCTTGATGAGATGCAGACTGCGACCATTGGAGTAACTGCTCCGGATGAGATTAGGCAGTGATAGGGACCATTGGCTTGGAGCAAGCAGGACAGCATGTTCCCAGCTCCTGTCACCAGTTCAGAGCTTTCTTTGAACTGTCAGCAATAAGGAAGAGGGGTTTATAGGAGGAGATGTTGAAAAAGCTTCATGGAAGTCCCTTGGGAACAGAGAGGAGCTGTTTTGCACTGGCCTGAAATGAGCAGTAGCACCGAGGTCTTACCAACACCCACCTCACACCAGGCAAACAGACCAAGCAAGAGAGCCCTGCTAGCAGCTTGGGAGGTGCTGGCCACCTGGAGCATGAGATTTCAAGGCTGGATGGAGAAAAAAAGACATATGTGGTTCCTTAAACAGTAAATTTTCATTTCCCTGAGATAGTCCTAAACTGGTCAGAATGAGATTCAACAGAAAGCCCTGGTGACTGTGGGGAACATAGAAACTGAGCTTAAGCATGTTGTTATTCTGTGGTTTAGGCTGGGAAAGGGCGATGTGGCCATGGGCAATGGGACCATTCGGAACCAGCTCATGCAGGGTTCTTCAGCACCCACAGCAGGTGCAGGACAGCCTCCCCCAAAGGGTGCACGTCCTGGGTCATGAATATTTTTAACTTCCAGAAGATGGAGAGGCCACACTCCTTATCTAACTAGCTGGGGACAGTTTGCTTTTCCAGAAAAACATCCAAGCCCTGTGAAAGCCTCTGAGCTGTTGGCCACCAGGACACCTCGAGCTGCCAGAGATGTGACGTTGGTTGACACCGTCTGAGCACCGAGCAGCAGATGTTACTGGCTGCCACTATCCTCCCCACCATTTTCCCTGGAACAGAGCTCCGCGGCAGCGGGAAGAAATCCCTCCAAGCGGGGTCATTCTCCGCATCAGCCCAGAGCCCAGAACCACCTCCCTGCCCACGGTGAGAGCCCTTCTCCAGCTCCCCCGTGCTACTGCAAGCTGCCACGGCAATGCTTGATGGGCAAGAAGAGGTGCTACCAACCGAATGAAAGCCCCTACCCCATTCTAGAAAGGTTTTATCTCCTTTTAGGCAGCACAACCCCCCCCCCCGTCCTCTTTTCCCACTCGAAGGCAAGGCTTTCTCTGAATCCTCTCTCTCCTTGCAGATCCCGGCCTCATGCTGCGGTGCAGCGAGCTGTGCTTTCCAGGCACACTCTTCCTTCCCAAATAGACCGGCTTTCTGGCAAAGTCCCCACTGTACAGCGTGTCCTTCGCAACCCCGGCTGCCAACCACCCTGAGCATTCCCCCTTCCTTACAACAAGGACCTTTGGAGCGATAAGGATCTTTGCAAGGCTCCCCAGGGGAAAAGGAAGTTTTGGCTGGGAAATTTCAATGGAAAACAAGGAGAAAGGAAGCCTGGAGGGAGTCTGGCACCTGCTGAGCTTCGCTAAGTAATTCCAGGCTCCTGGGAGGACCTGGGCGTGCTGCTGGAGCTGGGCACGGGATGGCGATGGGCAGTCAGGGCTCCTCCTTTCCTTGCCTTGCTGGAGGAAATGCTTCGACAGCCCTGGAAGAGCTGTCTCCAAAGCTCAAGTGCACAGAGAGCCAGGATGGGGACTGGGGGGGGGCTGTGACAGCACCCACCGCTCCCCCACTTTGCAGGAACCCCCCAGGGCAAGGCTGGCACTGGGAGGCGATGAGCCTTGTGGCAGGGAGAGCTGCAAGTTCTCGTGTCTCTGCCCAACCACGGGTCACCCTCGGCACCCGCTTCCCTGCCCTGTCCCCCCATACCCACTCCCGGGTCAACCTCGGGGGGACGGACACCCCCATCCCGGTCGGATGGGCACAGCCTGCAGAAATGCCAGCTTGGCATCTCTCTTTTGCCAAGCTGAAGACAAATTCCTGCTGTCACAGTGGCCCTTTGGTAGGCAATTTATTTACCTTGGATGCTGCAGCCTTATCGTTCATGGAAATGTTTATCCTAAATATTTAATAGCAGGACTGCATAAACTGAGGCTTCCTGGGGAAGAAGCCCAGGCTGCAGGCAGAGCAGGCACTAACGTCTCTTCTTCTGGTACTACAAAAGTTAAAGATAATTTCTCACTTCTCCCTAAGAATCGCATCCTCAGCGCCTCAAAATCAGATATTTTTTAATCTGTCCAGAGGCCTCCTCATCGTTTCCTGATGAGAAACACAGGAGACCTAACAACAGCCCTTTTAAAAACAACATCCCCGATTCCACTAACTCGTTAAACAGAGAGAGCCTGAAAAGTGCCAACACTCCTATGAGAAAAGACGGGAGAGAGAGAGAGAGAGAGAGAGAGGGAGGAAAGAAAAAGCAGGTTATTTATAACGCCAGGCAGCATTAGGGTCTCTTCAGTCTCTCCTGCAAACCGGCTGCTGCTGGGAGGTCACTCCCCAAAAAAACCTGCCGAGCCCGTGACCTGCAAGCACAATATTTGATCTGGGATCTAGGGCGGGCACCAGCCTTTGCAAATTGGGAGACACACTCACATGCTGCTTGACACACGGGAGATCCCAGAGAAGAGCAGCGAGGCTTTGAAAAGGAGGCTCTTAGCTTGGTAAGTCCTTCTCTATATTTATTATGATTTTTTTTTTTTTTTTTTTTGAAGCCTGATTTCCATACCCTTGCCTCGGCGGGCGGGCGGCTGCCACGCAAAGCACATGCCAGCGACACGGGTGGCACAGCTCGAATGCCAGCGCTCCTGAGCTGCCGTGGCAGGGAAGTTCTCTCCTGCTACCCACGTCTCTTGCCCCTCTGGCAGCTCCTTGCCCACTTGGCCGGGAGCTGGACACCTAAAACCATCGAGACCCAGGTGCGGGCAGTGCCGGCTCGCTGCCCCCCTGCCTGGCACAGCTCTGCCCGTCCCGTCTGCCGGGTTGCAGGGGAAGGGGGAGATGGTTTCACGCCTGGCACAGCGGCGATGGGGGGCAATGGGCAGAGTCCGTGGTTGACCACAGACTGTGAAGCCTCTTGTTCCAAAACCTGCTCCGTCTCGGGGCGAGGAGCTGACCCCATTAGCCCGGCAGCTTCTGGCACAGGAGCGTGGGGACCCGGAGATGACACGGATCTCGCGGCCGGCACGCTCAGCTCAGATCCCACCCCTAAAACTGGGCTGAAGCCCACTGGGGAGGGGAGAAGCAACCTTCGAATGAAGCGGGGGGCAGCGGTGTCTGCTGAGGACAGGCTCTGGGGTTACCAGTATGTTGAAGGGGAGCACTAAAAAAAGTGGAGGGACCCCATGGTTCGGTCCTGCCCCACACAGAGGGGCCCCCTGAGAAGGGGCTGCCAAGCAGCTCTGCATGGGTGGAGAAGCCCCTGCGCGGAGCAGGGCGGCTCTGGTATTTCAGCAGGCAGAGTGCCCTGGAGCAGGCGGGAGGAGGAGAAGAAACTCCTTCGCAACTGCCAAGCTCCCCTGTTGCACAGAGGACCACGTCTCATCTGCCCCTCGGCTGCAGGAGCATGCGGAGAGGGAAGGAGGGAGAGAAGGAGAAAGCGAGGGAGCCATGCCTGCCCGCCGCCATCTCAATCCCTCTTTTCTTCCAGCGTGAGCAGCCTGCCAGGGTGCCTCGGTGGCAGGGCAGCCGCTGCCTCGGAGCAAACTGTGCCCTCTTTGTCTGCCAGGCGAGATGTCCCCTCCTCGCTGCGGGATGGGGACGCGGTGAGGTCCCATCGGGTGACCCCACGGCCACAGCGAGGAGGGACGCTGGCCCGTGCATTGCACATTGCCCACGCTGAGGCTGCCAGAGCGGAGCTGGCAGCGATGCACCGGCAGCACCACAGCCCTGTGCTTCCAGCCACGTATATAGGAGCCAGCAGGCAGGAGCGACTCCTCTCCCCCTCGGAACAGCATGGCCCTGTGTATTTCCTGGAGGCATTTCAAGATGCTTTGCTCCAGGCCGCTCTGCGTTCTCCTTTAGCACTGAGACGAGGAGTCAGGATGAACGGCCGTAGCTGGAGTCCTCCTGCCTTCGGCACCGCGGTGTGCCGGCACACCGCCCTGGGCATGGCACGGGGTGGCTGGGAAGCCCACGCCAAGCCAAGGGGCTCGGGGACAGGTTTGCCTTGCTCTGAGCCCTCAGCCCTGCTCTCTTCTGGACATCCACCCTCGGCAGGCTGAATTTCACAAGCAGGGTCCAAGCACTGGGTCTGGCAATGGCTCATTCTCTCCCTGGTCACACTGGCCTCGAGGGGCCGGCGGATGCTGCCCCTTTTTGTGTCAGGGCTGAGCTCAGGAAATCTAAGCTTGAAAGTGGTTTAGTTTCAAAAATAAGCCAGAACTTGTTTACCAGGATTTACATCAGTCCCAAGCAGCACGAGCATCCTGCATTTTCGTGGGGGAAGGGAGAGCTGGATGAAACCCACAGCGAATTATGTCGCCAGTGAGTGTAGCATAAATATAGCTCCATCGAAACATGCCTTGAGCTCCATCAACCTGTTCTCGCAGCTACCGCTCTCCTCTGCTTGGCCAGAGAGTGGCTGAGTCCTTTCTCCTCCCTCCCGTGCAGAGCCAGTACAGGTGAATCCCAGGCACCGTGGGGCAGAGCTGCATCACCTTACACAAATTGGGACCATGTTCCCCATATCTCCATCCTCGACTCAGTTGTAACAGAAATACCCATAAGTAAAGATTTTGCAAGCAAATATCCACTGGGATGGAGGTTTCTAACAGGCCTGAGGTGAAAAGAGGAAAGATCAGGTAACTGCAAACAGGGGACATGTCTGCAGCTGCATTTTTTTGGGTAGGATTCATTCAGGTCCCCTTGGTTCTCCAGCTCTGCTGCCAACTGCCACCAACCCCATGCAGGGCTGCAACCACATCCAACCCCGCTGCTTTCCCAGGCCTCGGGGTGCAGTTCACCTGCCTCTAGCCCTTACATCAGACCTGACACTGCTGATGGTTTCCTCCCCATTTTTCCCCCCACCCAGGTCCCTCCAGCGTCAGCACCATGCATTGGGCCACCGTCCTGATCATCGCTGGGCTCTTCGGAGCCTCCCTGGGCCAGTACAATGAAGAAGAAGACATGGCTTGGTTACAGTACTACATGCGGCAGTCCCGTATGTCCTCCTATAACTACATGCCCTACTATGAGGATGAGAACACCCCTTATGTGTACTCTTACCTCCCAGCTCCAGACACGGAGGCAGGGCCCGGCCCCGAACCTCAGCAAGCCCCTTCCTGGCAATGTCCCCAAGAGTGTGATTGCCCCCCTAACTTCTCGTCAGCCATGTACTGTGACACCCGTAACCTGAGGTACCTGCCCTTCGTGCCTTCCCGGATGAAATACGTCTACTTCCAGAACAACCAGGTCACCGCCATCCAAGAGGGGGCTTTCGACAACGCCACGGAGCTGGAATGGCTCGCACTGCACAACAACCAGATCAGCAGTGAGAAGATGGGCAAGAGGGTCTTTGCCAAGCTCAAAAACCTGGAGAGGTTGTACATGAACAACAACAACCTAACCAAGATGCCCAACCCCTTGCCCCGGTCTCTGAGAGAGCTCCACTTGTCTTACAATCAGATCTCCAAGGTCCCCTCCAATGCTCTGGAGGGTCTGGAGAACCTCACAGCCCTGTACCTCAGCCACAACTATATTTTTGAGATGGGAGCATCCCTCAAAGGGCTCAAGTCCTTGATCCTTGCTGATCTGAGCTACAACCACCTCAGGAAAGTCCCTGATGGGCTCCCAATGGCTTTGGAACAGCTCTACCTAGAGTACAACTACATCAACGCCATCCCTGATGACTATTTCAAGGTCTCTCCCAAGCTGCTCTATGTACGGATGTCCCACAACAGCCTGACAAATCAAGGTCTCTCTACCAACACTTTCAACAGCAGCAGCATCCTTGAGCTGGACCTTTCTTACAACAGGCTCCAGAAGATCCCCCGGGTCAACACCAACCTCGAGAACCTTTACCTTCAAGGGAACCAAATCAATGGTGAGCAGAAACGCGTCAACCAAAGCGCGGTGGTGCGAGGGATGGTGGTGCAATAGAGGGATGGGGAGGTGGGGATGCAGAACCTATACTTCCCCGCAGGAGACTACCTGGGCTAATGGTTTGAGCAGGAAGCTGGAATTTGGGAGACTTCTAGGTGGCCCTGAGCAAGGCAGGAATGGGGCCTGTTGTGTCCCAACACACCTGGAGCTGAGAGGCTCTCAGTTCTGAACGCTCCTGTGTGATCCACGAAGCCATTGCACTGGTTTTACCGAGCATTTAGCAGAAGCCTGAGGACCTTCTGGTTAGAGGTGCCAGAAACCAGCTGTGGGTAGAAGCTGATGCACAACCTGGGGAAAGGACTACGGCTTTAGTTTGGCATTGCACACAGGCTGGGGGGGTCACTGACAGAGCGGACAGAGGTGGGAGGGTCCCCACAGCCACGGTCACTGCACGTGGGAACACACATCACCCTGGCCAGTGCTAATGCAGGGGACAGGGATGTACCCCGGCGGTCTGCAGAGCTTGGGGTCAGTGCAGCCCCTTTCTCCAGTCCCTTCTGCCCACCTCCCTCCCCACCTCGCAGGGCACTGGCACAGCCCATGGCCCCAAACCCCCCCAAGGGTCATGGTCTGCAGCCAAGAGGCACATCCTTGCTGGGGCTGGGACAGACGGGAGCTCTTAGTTATTAGAGCCATCAACGCAGCATCTTCTGCCAGGACTAAAATTCACTTCACTTAACACACAAATAAATAAAAGGAACAGATTGTTCTGGGGCTGCTATTTATAAAAATAAGCTAGGGGAAAAAAAAACCCCAAGCAATGTCCTGGAAAAATCCAGGCTTGCTGCTCTCACCTGCCAGGCCCCAAGGGCAGGACCCTCCTGGAGCGGTGCTGGAGCCCCTGAACAAACCTGGGATGGGGACGGGGATGTGTCAGTGCAGCCATCAGCTGTTGCAGAGGAAACACACAACCCCGCACCGGGGAACCGACAGAAACACAAAAACAAGAACAGATTCCCAAATGTTTGCTTTCAAAATTTGTAGCTGTTAACGTCTGCCCACAAATGCCATGAAACCACCGTGGAGCCGTTCAGGCTTTACAGCAGTTTCTCCTCCAGCTGCAGGTTTTGCCGCTGACCTTTCAAGCATCCCCCAGGAGCGAGGGGCTGCGGGTCCACGTCGGTGCAGCACCAACATCTTTGGGGGGTGGGGGGGCACATCCCACCCCAGGGGGTACCAGAGCCGGGATCGTGCCCCTCCAGCCATACCGGGAGGTCCCCGCTTACCTCCCTGCACACCGCAGGGCTTGCAGCCCCCCAAACCCCCGGCCTGTGGGCACAGGGGTCCCCCAGCACCCCGCTGCCTTCCCCAGCAGCATCCCGGCCTGGAGCTTTGCTGCCCTCTAGTCGGTCGCTTCTCTCCCAAATCCTCCACAAAATTTTTGGAGTTTGCTCCTTTTCCTCCCTCCAAACCCAGGCTGGACTGGGCTGGAGTTTCCCTGCCTGATGCTGGCAGCAGCAGGTGGCAGATGAAGGGAGAGGGGATGTCCTGGACACGGGATGGGGACAGGGATGTCCTGGACACGCTGCCTGGGTGGTGCCACGGTGACTGGGGGGGAGTCAAGGGCTGGAGGATGCAGCGTACGAAGCCTCACAAAAGCGGTTGCAAATAAAAAGCAATGTTTTTCCTCTGACTCCACCCGGCTTTTTTCCTACGGGCGCTCCAGCCAGGCTGGGCGAAGGCAGCAGACAGCAGGCACTGCCACGGCTTCCAAACCCTTCAACAGGCAGAAGCTCACAGGCTCCTTCTGACCGCAGCTAGGAGCAACAGTTACTCTTTTAGCTTAAGAGCAGAGGGTGTCGAGTCGAAATTGCAGGAATAATTGGTGATTTGGCGGTGCTTTCATTTTCTTCCTGCCCACCTTAACATAAACCAGCTCTCGGAGGTCGGTACCCTCAGATCCATCTCCAGAGCAGCCCCCCTTGATGTTTCTCACTCCCCAAAGATCAGTCACATCGCAAAGGTTAGAGCCAGGGCCGAAGCCGGTGCTCAGCTCTCCGTCTTCTCTCCCCCCGCAGAGTTCTCCATCAGCAGCTTTTGCACCGTGGTGGATGTCATGAACTATTCCAGGCTCCAGGTCCTGCGGCTCGACGGGAACGAGATCAAGCGAAACGCGGTGCCCCCCGACGCCCCGCTTTGCCTGCGGCGTGCCACCATCATCGAGATCTAGCCCAGCCCCCCCCCCGGCTCCCTCCCCATCCTCAGGACTTGGCTCCCCCGTTCCTGGGGAGACACTCACTCCCATTTTAATGCAGCTTGACAGTTTGACTTGGCTTCCGCAATAGTGCAATAAGGGTACTTCAACACCAGCCCACGCGGGTGGGCAGGAGCCATTCTTCCCCAAACGCTCCCTCTTCCCAGCTCTCCGACCACGCAGGGTGGGACAGGTCCCAGCTCCGTTCCCCCTCTGACCCCACCACGGCCACCCCCCAAAGCGCTGCACCCCCATTCACCTTCTCCCCTGGTTTGGGTGGGATGCAGCAGGGACGGGGGAGAGCTCATCCCACCTCCGAAACTTGGCACGGAGCATCCGACCCCAGCGGGGAGGGGTTCAGGTGTGGGTCCTGCAGAACCGGCGGATCTAAAGTGACTCACCAGCGGTCACTGGGAGGAGCATCCGGGAAGTTGGGAGCTGCATGAGTAAAGGGTTAAAGATACCTTGGCTGCCAGCATCCCTCAACCTAGCATGGGGAAGAACAAATCCACTCTTTCTCCTCCCTTTTCCCCCCTTCCATCAGCCTCCTGCTCCAGAGATAAAGGAGAGAAACCTTTCCTGCTGCTGCTGAGCAGCTGTCAGCTGCTGAGGTTAGAGAGAAACACTCCGAGAAACAGCCTGTTTGTGGACTGTGGCCAAGGGGGGGGTCTCACATCTTCCTCCCAGACCACTGGTTCAGGGCAGGACCGGGGCTGAAGGATGGAGCAGTTCCCAGTGCCGGTGCCGTCACCCCCGGCTGCCTGGGGAGCCCCCCCACACCCAGCTTCATCCCACCCACCAGCTTGGCTCCCAGCTCTCTCCCTGCCCAGGCAACCGGGGTCTCCCAATTAAAAAAAAACCCCAACCAAAATCACAGTGACATGTGCATCTGCAGCATGTTTGAATTCGCCAAAAACACCCAACTTGGTTCCTTGGACGGTTTAGTTTGAGAACCAAAGGGGCAGCTGAGCTTTGGAGATGACCTGCAAAGCTGAAGCGGTCATCCAGACCCTCCGCATTTAAACTGCATGCTAACACTATAGAAACAAAAACCCAAAAAAACCTGTACTATCACCGACGCATGAACTGTAGATATCATACCGACGAATAAAGCCCTTTCTGTAACTGCACGAAACGTGTCTGAGGAATCCCAAATGCAGAGACCAGGGTCTGAGCATCTGGGCTGCTCTGAGCACTGTAACCTCCCTTCTTGCAGACCAGATCTTTCTGCAGACACAATCCGGGCTGGATTTGCCGTCTAGTGGTTGTACCACACACAACATGTGCATACGCCGCCTTCCTCGCACCGAGGAGCTGCTGCTCCAGCACATCCCAGATGGGGTCCACGCAAGGACATTTATAGAAGGGAAAAAATACACATGGAAAAGTGTCAGTTGAGAGAGGGAAGGGATGGTGGTGCCACTGGCACAGTACTTCTGGTTGTTATTTTCTGGATGCTTTCATGTTCTCCAGTCTTCAGCCTTGCTTATTTTTAACAGCTAAGCTGGAGGATGCTTAAAAAAAAAATTCACACAGGCAGGATTTTTACAGATCTGGAGTTGCACAGAAAGTGCCGTTTCCCAGCCTGTGGGCCTCTCCTCTGCACACCGGGGGCTCACTTGGCTCTGGGTTGGTGCCAGCCAGGGAGGCAGAGCCTGCAGGCCCTCCGTGGGGTGCAGGAGGTGGGTTTCCCCGCTGGCCTTCCCCAAACAGCCCTAGTCCCTTGCCCTGGCCAGGGACAGCCCCGCCAACTCCAGCCAAGGCTCTTGCAGAAGCCAGGCAGGAGGAGAGGCAAGAAGACCCAGCTCCATCCCCGCAGGCCACCCCTTTCCCCATCCTCTCCTACATCCCAGGGCAGCACCGGGACGTGCACATCCTCATCGCAACCTCCCACAGCCAAACCCCGTTCCCTGCAGAGATGCAGATCCTCCTGGAGGTACCAGGACCGGGGACCCCAAACCGAGGGGATGCCCCTGCACATCCAGCTGGCCAAGGACCCCAGGACTGTCACTAGATGTCGGCATTGCCTGTCACACGTGGTCCTGTCCAGGCTGGCCCTGGCTTCCCCTCTCCAAGACCATGTCCCCAGAGAGCAGCACCCAGGTTTGGGAGCTGCCCTGCACCCAGGGGTGCCCACCATAGTCAGTACTTGCTTGGGCAAGGCTGGGCTGAGGCATGGGGTGAAACTCCATGGGAAAAAAGGGCTCAGAGGAAGGCACACCTGACCTTGCTTCTGAAACAGCAAGAGGCAAGCGATGCTTGTGCCGGGCTCCCTCCAAGGCTGGCAGCAGGGCAGCACGGTGGGGAGTGGGCTCTGCAGAGAGGGAGGACGTCCCAGACCCCCGTGGACGTGCAGCCGGTCAGCTCCAATGCAGGAGCCTGTTGGCATCTGGGACCAGCTCCGATCTTTCTGCCATCAGCCCCCAGGAGAGGTGCCACAGCCCATCAACCTCCTCCTTCCTTGGGGCAGCATCCAGCAGGCCAGGTGGGAGGGGGACAGGGACAGGACTACAAGCACCCAAGCCCACACCATGTCTCCATGCTCTTCAAAAGCAGCAGGAGAGGATGTCTGCAGGATCCATCAACAAACCAGCCAAGCACAACCCTCCTCCCAGTCCTCGGGAGGTGCCCAGGCACCAGCACACATCGTTCCCTGTTCCCAAGTCAGGTTTTTGCCTCAGAGCATCCATGCTCCTTCCCAAATCAACACCAGCCTGCAGGAGCTGAAGGGGCTGGGGGTTCAGGGGGTGTTTATAGGGAGGCCCCAGCCCATCACCTCTGGGGGGCAGGGGGGGAAATGTGGCAGTAGGGTCTAGTGGCAGCAGAGCAAAACCCAGGAGAAACAACCACCCAGTGCTGCTTCCAGCAGCTGCTTTATCCACACAGGGTGATTGGGATTGCTGATTTACACCAGCTGGGGCACTGGCTCTGCATCCCGCAGGGGTGGATATGAGGGAGGCAGAAGGTCAGTACAACCCACTGCCCTGCTTCTCTGCCCCCCTCCCCCCCCCAAAAAAAAGGGGAGACCCCATTGGTCCTGGGTGAGCCCCCAGGCACCCAATCACTGCCTTGTTGTGGTGGGGATAGCAGGGATGGGGGCTTGCCCCACCCTCCTCATCCCCTTCCTCCTCCTCCTCCTGTTGCTGGGAGGAGGTGTGGGGTCTAGGGACCCCCAGCAGCCTGGATCCCACCGGGAAGGGGGAGGGGGGAATGCAGGGCTTTGTCCAGATCCACAGAAAAGCATAAAGGAGGGGAAACCCCAAACCAACCAAAAAATAGCTCCCCAGCCCCCTTGGAGGTGTGCCCTGAGCACAGAGGCTTTGTGGGGCTGCTACAGGAGGTACCAGCTGCTGCAGCTCCCCCAAAGTCATATTTGGACTGTGGGCTCCTCCCAAGGACTCTCCTTGGGTGGGATGTCAAAGACACCCCGCTGCTCCTGCCAGACCTGCTGCCCCCGCCATCACCCCATGGCCGCAGAGGGGCTCGGGCCACCGGCGTTGGACCTGGGAACCCGCCTTGGGGCTGTCCCTGCATGAGACCCTAAAAACCAGCAGCTCCCACAGGGTGCCCTACGGGGACAGGCAGGATTTCTCCAGACCTCCCCTGAAAACCCCCCAAAATTTCATCTCCACTTTTTTCCAGCCTCTTCCCCAGATTCTCTTCCCCTCCTCACTTTTTTTTCCCCTTTGCCGCATACCTCAGCTCAAACGCTTCCCAGGCTGTTTGCAAACATCCCTTTAAGAGGATGTTTCCCCAGGAAGTGCAGGATTTGTGTTTAAAAACAACCCCTCAAAACATTTTCCTTTGGAGAAGTACACAAGAAAGCAGCAAGGCAGCAGGCAATGGGTTTGACCCTGATGTGGCCGGGTGGGCAGAGCCACCCCTCAGTCAAGGGACGTGAGCTCCGGGCACAGCATCATCCCTGTGCTTCAAATTCGGCATGTGAACATTTGCAGAGCTGGCGTGAGTCACAGCCCAGGGAAATGTAACGCGGCGTCACGTCCTTCGGCGCTTCCCTTTGCTCAATTCTTCTCAGACTTAACCTAAAACCTTTACTGAGTGGAGGAGCTGTGAGGACAAAAGGATCGGTGGCCAGGTCACGGCTGCCTCCGCCACGCCTGGCCATCTGCAGACGTGCTCACGATGTGACGAGCAATAAAAGTTGATTATTAATAAGCTGCTTGGATCCAGCCCACAGCAGCTGCGACGTTGCTGGGAAGAGATAAGAAAACTGCAGAGGCAGCAGGAAAAGGTGCTGGGGAGGGGCCCAGCACGTTGTCAGTGGAGATCACCAGGACCCTTCGCCTCCCCGGCATCGATTGGGGATGAGCCGGAGTCCCATTTCACAGAGGAGCAGACTGAGGCTTGGAGGAACAGGGGGGTCCTGCTCATGCAGCTCCACATCAGGAGTAAAACGGAGCTGGGATTTTGGTGCTTGAGATTTGGGGGCTCAGGATTTTGGGATGCATAGCCCAGGGGCTAGAGCAGCTGGTGGGGTTCAGTCCCCCCCAGGGCACCGACCACTTTGGGGGGACCATTGGGGAAAGGCGGTTCCGCTCCCCAGCAGCGTTTGGGCATGGGGGAGAGGGACGGGCAGGAAATTCCCAATCTGTTCAGCTCCCATTCTTGCCTCCCCTTTTGTTTCACTCGCCATCTGTCCCGCAGCCCCGCGCGCCCCGCGCTCCTGCTGCACGTGCCGTAAATATCAAGACGGGCTTTGTCTCTGCTTCAAAAGGCAGCGTGGCCCCCATGCCCCAGCCCTGCCGCGGCCCCCAGCCCTCCCCAGCGGTGGCTGCTGCCAGCCTTAAAGCTGCTGGAGGCTGGCATGGCCGCAGGGGCTTTCTGTGCTGGCCGGCTTGCTGTCAGGGGGTCTGGGTTTCGGGGGGGACAGGCTCAGTGTTGCTCTTCTCCCGTCCTCCTGCCCTGGCAGGTTTTTGGGTCAGCGCTAAGAAGGGGCACATTTCTCTGACACCGCAACCATCCGTAGGATCCAAGAGCACAGCCTTGGGGCTGGAGTTGAACCCCCTCGCCAAAGTCACTCCAAACGGGA